TCTTTTAAGTTATTGATGACTCACCATCTATTTCTGACGTTTTTATATTGTTGATACGCCGAAGTTTTGCTGATTTATCAATATACATCTTTTTGCAGAAATGCAAGGTGCATTAGATGTAATATTTAATTATACATGATAAAATATGCTTAAAATCAATGTATCAAAAACAAAATGTATGCTACTTGGAAAGGAAACAGTACAAGAGTTACTAGTTAATAACTATTATTTGAAGATTGGGAATGAACAAGTAGACAAAATTAAATTCTTAGGAGTGGTAATTGACCGAAAGTTAACATCTAAAGAACATGCAAATTACATAATATCCAAAATTAACCATGGGATATACTACTTATCTAGGTGTTCACATTATCTGTAATTTTTCTCAAAAAAGGTTATTTATAAAAGGTACTTTAATTCTTCCCCATCTTAATTATTTTTCAACAGTGCTCTATCTTCTAAATCAAAATGATTTAAATAAAATACAAAAGCTACAAAATAGAGCAAAGCAAGTCATATTGGCCTGTAATAGATATACACCAATAAAACATATGTTTAGAAAATTAAACAGACTGCCAGTTAAAGACTATTTCGAATTTTTGGTATTAGTATATGGTAAACAAGTTAGTGTATAATAACGAAATACATATAACACTATAATTGAATAATGTACCTACTATTTTCATTAAGTAATTTTTATTCTGGGCATTGTAGAATTTTTGTAATAAGATTTTTTTATTTTTATTGTACAAGGTGGCGCATAATCAAGTACCCTATGGAATGTTATCATGGTTTCGTTTGTAGTTGACATCTGTTCGAGTTTTTCTGTCAGTTGCAAAGTAGATACTTGGGAAATTCATTATGAATCGATATAAGCCTCGAGAACGTGCCGAAATCATAAAAAATTTTTATCAAAATAATTCGTCGATTATCAGAATTTTTCCTCAACGCCTTATCTCGAAAAACGCGGATATTGCATATCCGCCAAGATCTCTTGATTTAACTGTTCCAGACTTTTGTTTACGGGTTTATCTCAAAGATAGGGTATTTGTAAATAATCCTCGAATACTAGAAGCATTAAATGACAACATCCGGGAAGAATTTGACAGAATACCACCTGAAATGTTGGAGAAAGTTATGAAAAATGCTTTAAAAAAAGCTCATTATTGCTGGCGGTGGCCATTTGGTCGAAATTGTTTTTAGTGTGTAACAAAACAAATTTTTAGAGTTTAAATAAATATTTTTCATTCATATGACTGTTTTTTAATTAATCTCACTTTTATACAGGGTGTTAAAAAAAAAGTGTCACAAAATAAAACGGGGGTAGTATGGGCCAAAATATGCAGAAAAGACTTAATAAACATATGTCCGCAAATAAATGGTTTCAGAGATACGGAATGTTTTGTATCATTTTTTGATTATCTTTTTTCATTCTCAAAAACTTGCTTTTCTTATCGGAGTCTACCGACGTTTTTTCATAGATACTATTTGCAGAACACCCTGTATAAAAAACAAATAGGGGACTTTATTTTGCGCCACCTTATATATCTTGGTATTATTTTATTTAGTAATGTAAACATTGTAAATTAGCCTCTGCCAAATAAAAATATATATTTAGAAATATTGAACAGGTGCATCGTGATGTAGAAGCATCGGGACGTAGAGAGGTCGTCGTGGCGCAGATCGTCGTATAGGAGAGAGGGTGTGGGGACGTAGAACGTCGGATACGAGAGAGGGTGTCGAGACGTAGAGCGTCGTATAGGGCGTAGGGACGTAGAATCTCAGATAGGAGTCCGTGACGTACTACAAAGGTAGGAAAGTAGGGCGGCAGTACGTTGAGCGTCAGGACGTGACAACGTTTGGGAGATAGGTCGTCGTGACGTAGAAGCCTCGACAGGAGGAGGCAGGATAGGAAAGGCGTTGGTTAGGAAGAGCGTCGGTTTAGGAAAGGTATTGAATACTGAACTTGAAATATAACTAAATTTGAAAAGCAACTGAATTAGACTGAAGACTAGGTTTAAAATAATAATGAATATCGAGCTCCTCGTGAACTGGTATACTTACCCGTTTTGTGACGTCAGTTTTTCGTAACTCCGGTAAGAACGAATTTGGGTGGATAAAATAGGGGTGGTCGATTTATTACGTGCCTTGAAAAATTCTCGGAATTTTGTGTTGAAATCGGTGTTAATATTCCAAACTGATTTAAGATAAGCCGGTTAAGATATTTGTTTTATTGTTGTTTTGAGTTGGGTTCCCAGACATGTACAAGAAAATTAGATCTTATGCAGACAGGGTTATTGATTTTATTTATTTGATTTCGTAAATAAGATTTAATTATCTGGGAGATTTTCTTTAAATGAAGGATTTTGAATTTAATAAGAATGCAACTTTTCTTTAATAAAATCGAATTAATAAATTATGAAGGTACCTGGGTGCGGTAGGTTACAGTACAGTGTAACAAAACAATGATTCTTCTGATTATTTTAAACATATGTAAATTTCTTTTATATGATGTAGTTAAACATTTACAAAGCAATAATGAACCATTTCAAATTTTGCAAAACAGTGATCTGGAATCTGGAACCAAGTTCTTCCAAAAGAAAAGTTAATTTTAGTAGAATAAAATGTTTTTTTTTTTTCTACAAATGTTGCATCATACATTCAACATTAAGGGTTTTGTATTGGTAAAGTAACATTTTAAAAACTAATCAAAGAAGGACAAATTTTAAAAATTTTGGAAAATTATATTAAAAATAGAAGTACCTACTTAGTACAAAAAAAATCTAAACAAAAATTGTGTTTCAATATAAATATTTACTGAAGAATTATTTAATTAGTTTTAATAATTAGCAGGACATGGCGATGGTGATAGTGCTAAAATTCCTTATCTATTAGATTCCAGTACAAAAACAATAAATTAAATTAGATTTTAGAAAAGGATTTAAGTATATTATTAATAAGAAATATAACATTCTTATTGCAATTTCTTATGAGGCAGAATTGACAGACCTTAGATAAAATATAAAAAAAAATCATGCAAATTATTAGAACTTAATAAAATTGTTATCTTTGGAATATGATATTAAACTAGAATTCTCGGATATTTTATGATGACGTTTTATTTACTGTAAGTTATATTTTATCTAAGCATATTTATAAAACAATGTGAGTGAATCATTTTATATGTGGTACTAAATATAATTTTTAACATATGCAATCTGTATAATAATTAAAATTTGTTGTGGTTTAAAATAAAAAGAATGTTAATTAATAATTGCCTTAGGGTTGTGACTCCGATGGTAGTGAGGTTTTGAAAATTAATGGAATTGTCAAATATATTTTGGGAATTTAAAAAAAGGCTAGAAAATATATTGAAGTTAAGATAGATAGATATTAATGTTGAAAATTTTATATCGTAGAGATGAAATTAAAAAAAAAGGACAAAAAAGAATGAATAACAAATAAATTTTTTTAAATTAAATTTAATATAAGTGTGAATGGAATGGAAGAAGAATTCGTCAGAAGGAGGAGTAAGAGAAGAATGTAGAGGAAAACAGCAAGAGGAGACAAGGCAGGAAAACGAGTTAAAATAGAAAACAGAAGAACAGGGAGCAAGAGTGAAGCGGGAGATTTAGATTTTCTTTCAAATTCAATATTTATCGATTAATATTATTTTTAATTTGTTAATTAAGGATATTCATAAGTTTTTAACTTCAAAAGTAAATTAAGATGTTTATTATTGTTGTTTAATTTAAAGTTTAGTTAAAAATAGAGCACTAAAAAAATCTGAAAAAAAAAAAACAGTCATATGATAACCAAATGAAATTTTGACAAAAATCCATATACCATGGCTCTCAGTATATAATAATAATAAATTGCCTTTATTTGCTTGTAATATACAATGCACATAAACATCATGAGGCGAAGTCTAGCTTGCGCTACTCAACTTAACCTCAACATAAATATAAATTTAAAATAATCAAAAGGTATCCATCATTTACAATATAAAAAAAAAATAAGAAATTTAATATACAATTAATTTATGATTAAAAAATGTTAACCCTGTATTTAATCTAAACTGAAATCAATGGAACTTAAAATACAATTAAATAAGAAAAAATGTTTGAAATTAATAATATATTAACGTTAGCACTGTATTCATTGCTCAACTAATAGCAACTTTTTATAATTTTGTTTTAAAAATGTCAGAGAACATGTCCTAATTTCCCTAGGTAGACTGTTATATATTGAAATGGCGTTATATGTGAAAGATCTTTTGAAAAATGATAATCGGTAATTCGGAATCGTTAAGTTGTGTGGATATGTCAAATGTAAACTGTGCAGATCTTTCCGATATATCAATTTATTTTTTAAGTATATGGGAGTTGAGGTTAAAAGATTTCGAAATACCGTGGCCGCCATCTGATATTTAAATAAATTTCCTATATTTTCTTTAATTTTATTTGATATTCTATCATATTTTCTGATACCAAATACAAAACGACAACAACAATTTTGAATCTTTTGAAGTCTGTATTTGGTTATTTGATCCAAACAAGGATAGTAAATTAAAAGTCCATAATTTAGGATGGACAATACAAGACTTTCACAAAGCAACTTACGTAATTTGAAACTCAAAATACCTCGATTCCTGTATAATTGACGAATAACCAGATACGATTTTTTGACTAGAAGCGAAACATAGTCCTGAAACCTTAATTTGCAGTCATACCATAGCTACTGTACAAGTATATACAGTTATTCATGATTTACTATAAATGAAAGTTGTGTCATTTTCAAAGTAAAGCAAAATATTTGTAAGAAATAAGTAAACAGACACTCTTATATTACCAGTTAAATTTACTAATTGTGTACTTTTTTTACTTATCATCGAATTTCCACATATTTTTGTGATTGGCAATTTAACGTAACAAAAGTTGTTGTAAAACCAAAGTGAAGATTGAAAGTAATAGTAAAAACATTATTGTTGTAGATCCAAGATGGCTGCAACGAATTTGGTATTTAAAATGCCTCTAGAACCCCATCCTTTGCCATCTTTGGAAGACGATGAAGAATCTTTCGTTGTTTTGGGTCAGTCTATGCCTGACTCAAATGTCGATGAATATATGTCCACCCCTGTAGATATATCCGTTATTGCTGAAGCCAAAAGACTCATTGACAGTGAACTGGATGCCCTAAACTCGATGAACAATAAACCAGATGAGAAAAAAGAAACAACAGGTATGTTTTGTTGCCAAATTATAATAAGCTTTCTGATTTTTTTTAATACTTCATTTAGGTGGACAAAAATAGTATCAATTCTTAAAGATAGAGGAACACTACCTTTATAGATTGAAGTAAAACATACATTACTAAAGACACATCGTTTTTTATATTAAAAATAGTGAATAGTTTTTTTCACTTGGTTGAGTTACCTTTTATAATTTGTTTTTCAAAATTAAAGTATTGACTTAAATTGTTTTGTTAGTTTGAAGTCAATTTATTATATACTTTTTCCTTATAAAATTTAATATATTAAGTATAAATTAAATTAAAAAGACGTAATTTTATTTCAAATGTTTTGATATAAACAAAGACTATAGAATATTAAATAAACAATGATACCTAGAAAACAATCGTTAATATTTTATTTATTTTAAATTATATATACTATCCAAGAAGATGTAGGAACAAAAAAATATTACAAAAATGTTATTTACTTGAATAAAAATCCCTTACACGTTTAAAGTAGTAAATTACTGAAGATAATTTTATTTCAGATGCTAATAAAGATATTCCTACCCAAGAATTACCAAAAATGGATACATCAACTAATCTTCCTTCAATGCCTAACATTGAAAAAGGCTTTGAAACTACAAACGCTATTAGTATTGCTTCATTTTCTTCTGACATGTCATCCGAAGAAGTCCAAAATAAAATTTCACAGATCATTGATGAAAATATTCGTCTTAAGGACACTATTTTACAGGTAAAATGTAGTATTGCTATTAGTATTCTAAAATATATACAATTTAAACAATATTATTGAAACCATCAGTAAATAAATCTTCTGTAATTAATAACTTTATTTTCTTTACAGAATAACATGTCTTTGAAATCCCAATACGAAAAAATTTTAGCTTGGCAAGAGGACGTACAAAGAGTTCATCAAATCCATAAAGAAAAACTTTCAGATGCTAAACAGTTTATAGACAAATTAAAAATGGAAAAAGAAAATTTGAAACGAGATTTGACTAAAGCTACTGAAGTGAACACTAATTTGGAAGCAGAAATTGTCGAACTTAAAAGGAGTTTAAAAGAGCAAGCGACAGCTAAAAATGAAGTTTTACTTCAAAGGTATTTTTAATATCTATTTTAGAAATTGTTTGATATATAATTTTCATTAATGCGCAGGTCCGATGACAATATAAAAGAATTCCAGCTAGATGTCGCCAACAAAAAAATAAAGGATCTAGAGGCAGCAGCTGAAAAGCTGTTAGCAGAAAACAAAATGTATGCCAGTAACATGGCTAAAATAAAAGAAGATACGAAGAAGGAAATGGACGACATGCGAAATCAATTGGAAAAGTTAGCTTTGAACGAAAATCAAGTAAAACTGAAAATTGAAACATTGAATCCGGAATTGGAAAAATTGACTGAAGAACGAGATTATGCTATTGGCAAAATTGAAGAACTCCAGCAAAAGGTAAGATACAGTTGATGCAACCCAAATGTGAATGCTCTTTAATGGCATGGGCCACAACCATTTTGCTTAGTTCATCTAGAGGATAACAATCATGAACGCAAAATTTAAAATTCAAATTCAGGATTCTACAATATACATACAACTAATTGACATTTATATTTACAAACTGGCCACTGCTGTGCACGTCTACTGTCTGTCTACAAACGACATGTAACTTTAGTTAACATATGAGATGCATAGATGACGCCAAATGCTGCTGCGGTCGTTGCGTTTCCTATCTTTATATCCCTAATCTCTAGGCATGGGATATTTTACAGTTATTTGTGTAAGTCTGGCTTTGGCCAGTTGTGTTACAAAAGGGAAAAATATTGAGAACAAAAATATATTCCTTTTGTCAAATCGATCTTATCTACATTAAATCTGCAATAAAAAAAAATTGAAAGAATATAAAATTAAAAAAACATTTTATTTGTTACAAAACTAAATTAACAAATCTACAAAAAGAGTTTATTTATTACAAGAGAAAATCAAAGCTATAGCAAAATTGGACAAAAATTGGTCCTAAAGGCCCATATTCATTCATAAATCGACAAATAATGAGTCTGACTCAGCTGAATCGTCCTTGAACGAAAATCGAAGTTCGGTTATAACTTCTCTAAAGCTCCAGGTGGTTCCATTGTTGCTCTGGAATTTAGAGATGGATATTAGGAAATCCATAACTGTTAAGTATATTTACGGTTTTATTACTACCCATCTCTAAATTTAAGAGATATAACCAAACTTTAGCAAATCCATTGTAACATTTTCTTCTAGATCTTCATTAATAAATGCGGTTTCTATATCTAGCTGATCCAATTTCAGAGTTTTCTATTGCATAAGCGATTACTGTTCTTACTGAACTGATTCTTACTATGGCAGCAAAAATTTCGTTGTTGACTCCAGGACATTATGAATATCCTTTGGCAACTAAACAGGCCTTTGGTTTTTAAGCTACCCATCTGCTTTTGTTTACTAACACTAAACGACATCCTACGGACTCTCTTTCCTCTTCAAAATCTTCTACTACAGTCGCATGTTTTATTCATCATCAAAGAAATGTAGTATTTTTTTATCGTTCGCTCCATTCTTTAGAATTTTCTCCTGTTAAAGCTGATTTCAACCATTCTGTATTGTTCTTGTGGTCTTCCTATATTGCCTTTTCATATTATTCTTGGCCTTCATGGACTCTTTTGTTTCTTGTATCTTCTGTATTGTCAATTTCTTTTCTAAAATCATTATTTTCATCTTGGACCTTTTTCTCATTTTCAAATAGAACTTCTAAATCTTCTTCTAATAACTTTGGAAATTCTACATTTTTATTTACTTTCAAATTTTCTTGTATAGTTTTTAAATCTCTTCTTACTGCAACCTTTTTTTGTCTATTAAAAAGACTAAATTCATTAGATTCTTCAGAATATCCCAAAAATATTACTTTTTCTACTCTAGGTTCAGATTTAGTTTTATAATCCTTTTTTAGAATATAGCCTTTGCTTTCAAACGTTTTGAAAGTTTCAACATTACGTTCCAGTCCACCAAAAATAAGGTGTATAATTATTGACAACACCTTTTGAAGGGAAACCATTTCTTATATAGGACGAAGTTGATATTGCTTCGGCCCAAAATTTGAGTGGTAGATCTGTTTCTATCAGCATAAATCTTGCAATATCCACCAGTACTCTGTTTCGCCTTTCTGCAACCCCATTCTACTGTGGCTTATAAGGAACTGTTAGTCTTCTTCTAATACTACATGACTTCAGGTAATTATCGAACTCAATGTTGCATAATTCACCTCCATTATCTGTCTGTAAGTACTTTATACGAACATTTTTCTGGTTTAACCATTTCTTACTAAAATATCTTACTTCGTCCCATTTATTAGTCATCAATAAAGATAATAAAGTACTTCTTTCCTCCTTTTGACTGAAGAAATTGGCCCACAAATGTCAGAATGGATTACCTCCAAAATTGAAGTACTTGAGGTATTCTTTAGAAAATAATTTTGGGTTATTTTTCCAATGAGACAGATTTTTTACATGAATGTAAATGTTCATTATCTTCAAATTTTACATCAGGTACGTAATTTTTATGAAAAAATAATCATTTAAATTTAATTTAAATCTCCTATGCCATAAATTTAAAGTATTTGAACTGGCAATTCTTGCATACTCCCCCATCTTTCTTTATGAAATATAGCCCTTTCTTTTTGTTAGCCAATACGTTTAAATTACCAGCTTGATCTGTTATCCTAATATTGTTTTGTGAGAATATTACTTGGTAGCTATTCTCAATAATTTTTTCTAAAGACAATAAATTATTTCTGAGGTGAGGAACATAAAAGGTATTTTCTAACTTCAAAGTATTTCCATATAATCTGTCAGATAGTGGCAGGTTTAGGTGCCCCATTTTTGAATACAAGCCACGAAGAGGGTTGAAAAGTACATAGATTTTAAGTAGAATGAAAGGAAATTTACGAGTGGCTGCTGGGGATAATACATTTTCCCTAACAAAAACGAAAGGTTATTTGTTGTCCATACAAGCCCATCGAATGTATGAAAACTTACGTCGTCACTAGTCCGAAAAACATATTTACATATAATGTATAAGTGCATTTTGGGGTCGGAAAATTTTTCTGATAAGGAAAATCAATTTTCCATGTGTTATCCCCAAGAGGCACTCGTAAATTTTCTTTTATTCTACTCAACATTAATGTACTTTTCAACCCTCTAAATCGGTCACTATCTGACGGTCTAATACGTTATCTTGCTGTACCTATTCCTGCAATTTTTGTTGAAGACTTTAAAGTGGTAAATAATTCATTCTCGTGGCACATGTGAAATGTGCAATCACTGTCTAAACACCATCATTGTATTTATATTCTCCTTCTTGACCGGAAATGGCTGCTTGAAACCCTAATTCTTCATCTGGTACCTTCTCTTTTGCATTTTGAGATTTTTTAAATAGACAATTAACTGCTTTATGTCCCATCTTTTTACAATAATTACACCTATATGGAATCTTTCTCAATTTAATGTAGTTATGTTTAGGATTCTTGTCGTAATTTACGTCCTTCTTTGCTAGAAATATTTTTTCTTCTACATCGTTACTTCATATTCCTCTATAATCTTAAATTTAAAATACTCTGATGTTGGAAGTTCGTATCTTAGCTCTATTACACATCTGAAATTTTCGTATTCCTCTGGCAAACTGTACAATAACATTATAGTCAATAAATTAGCTTTGTTCGCGGTAAGAATCCTGAACCGAATTATTACTAATAGTAACGATTTCGCAGGCGCAGTAGTTAAGAAGCGTTCGCGGAACAAAAAGAACTGAACTACTGGTTCTATCCTGCGTTCGTGGTAAATTATTTGAACCGCTTGTCTATACCTAAAACACCGAGATATATTAGGGATGCGCGCGCGGTAAAAATTCAGAATTGATAATGAATGGGGCATGCGCGCAAAGTATAAATTAGTAATTCTGGATCAGTTCAGGTTGTTACCGCGAACGAAGCTATTATCATTTATTTCAACTTTTAATATCCTTTAATTTCTCTACATCATCAAAAAAACGTCATCGCTTCGAAATTTATGTTTTAGTAGAGTAGCATTTTTGGAGGTCCTTTTGATTAAAAAATTGTGTGCAACTCTCATACAGCGTGGGATGTTGTACAATTTTTAACTTATTTTAATTCTGAAGGACTGCTTGCTAAAATTAAATCAAATTTCACCTTCCGATCTGCGGAATCCCAAGCTGTGGCAGCAATGGCTTCGGTCGGGCGATTTGTACTTCTATTTACAAACTCCCAATAATCATCATTAATTAAAAGAACTTCTACTTGCAACTTCCAAGTATCGAAATTATCCTTTCCTAAAGGTTCAATCCTGACGGTCATAGAGCTCGTCATACTTAAAATATAAACTAGATTTTCAGGCACTGTTTTAACAACCTGGAACCATAACCTATTAGATGGGCAGACTATTTTGTACCAGTAGAATAAAATAAATCGAATTGAACTTTTATGTCAATCATTTATCAAGTTAACATTTTTTGTATATACATAGATACAAGACATGTTTACTAGGGGCAAGTTTACTAACTTCTAACAGACTTTCATATAAAATAGTAAATATGTTAAATAAGTTGCCAATTTCTTTATGAAAAATATGTTTATTAATTAGTTGGAGGCTAAATTAAAAAGAGAGGAAGCTCTTCTGATGACGACCAACACCTTAAAAGCACAACTAGAGCTAGGAAATCATTCTGAAGAAATTGACAATCTCCGAACGCAACTGGGCGAAACTCAGACTGCTTTGACGCAAATAGAGTTTTCAAGAAAACAAGCCTATTCACAAGTGTATCAACTGACAGAGGAATTAACACGACTAAAATCTACAGAAAATTGCAGTGACGAAATTTGTGCTTTGAAAGTACAATTGGATGTTTACAAAACTGATTTTGAAGAGGAGAGGCATGCCAGAGAAGTGATTAAAGGTATGTAAACAATTTTTCGGTTTTAATGTACTATCTTAATAAATAAATGGTTTATTTCAACTGGATACACCCAATTACAGAAATAACTGACATGAATCTCTAACTTACTAATCAAATTATAATATACAATTTAAAAACTATAATTCCTCTAAAACTATCAATAGTTACTTTAAGAGGTCTAATATTGTATGCAATTTATCCTGGTCCAGTCGAACGGTTATTTTTGTTTGCAGAAATGGCAGATATTATTTTCTGTATACAGTACGTTAACTTTCCAACATTGATTCCAAGAAAACGGTATAGAAAAACGATGCTATTGAACGGGCAGAAACAACAATAAGCGCTTAATAATGGAAATTACAAATGATCAAAAGATAAAATCGAAATGACAAGAAAGTGATGACTTGTAGCTGGTTCTTGAATCACATATCCATTTGCGTTGTAAATTACCTGAGGAATTCTGAGGTTTATGGGAATTTTCTTGATAACTTTGAATTTGTTGCATAAGTTTTTTATTAAAAAGTTGTTTAGTTGTACATTTAGCTTCTATAAGTAGAACTGAACTAATATATTTTTTCTCAGAAAATTATTGTATTGGCACAAATGTCAATCTTTTTTCTCATGTCATTCAACTGTCAAATGTTATAATAAATATTAAACTTCTTTGAATTCAAATTGTTTAGTGACGTAATTACTGTTGATGTTAAACATCGCTCTCAATCCAATGAAATTCTTAGCCACCCACTTGGCTTGAAGAATTTATTCTTCACTGAACAGCTATGTCTATGTGGGACTTCGATCGCACACACGCATCTACACAGTGACTTTAATTTCTTTATAAGATTCTGTTTCTTTGCAAGCGCGTGGATGTACAGAGGCGTATTCAGATTTACAATATATTAAAACTTTGTCTTCGTGCGTTATAACTTTCATATCCAAGTTTTTTGCACAAACTTCTATTGAAAAACTGCTTTTTATTATGTTCATTATTTTTTGTTCTTTGTAGATTATTTTGTTACACTTCATATTCAACCATATTTTTGTAGCTTTAATTTTTATATATATCAAATTCTAATATAATATATCTACTTTATAACGTAATATTAATTGATCAACATCAAGTATATTGAATCTCTTTTATGTTTAGAAGAGAAAGATAAGATAGAAGAAGACATTCAAAACCTACAAAGGCGCAATCAACAGCTTCAAGAAGAAATCGAAATGCTGAGAGGTGAACGTGATTATGTAGTATATCCCTCAAGATCTGCACCACGAGATCGAGTCCAAGATCAACGTACGACAGCAAGTAGCAGTAGTAACGCTTTTAAATGCCCAAAATGCGATTTTGGTTTCAATGATGTGAACATGTTGCAAAATCACGTATACAGATGCATAGAACTGGACGATCGTCTACCATAGAAACATTTCTACATTTTCCAGTTTGCCTATTTTAAAGTCTATCTTGTTATATATACATATTATATATCTTCGGATTTCTCCATGTTATTTTGTGTGATTGCAAATCTTTTTTGCTCTTTTGCCACTTTAACAACATTTAATATCATTGACGTTTGTGATTTATTTTTAAAAATTAGTCCCATTTGTGTGCCATACTTTGTTAATACAAGAATGGTATATTAAACATATCCAGAAAATGGTGTTTTAGTGGATTAAATAAGATAATCTTTAGTTCGTTTTGTTCTCCAGCATTATTTGTGCAAAATATTACAAAAGTGTGGCCCTGACAGCCGCTTCACTGATTACAGTTAGAATAATTTTGTATTAACTTTTCTTTCTGTCCAAACTGCACAATTTGTTTTAGAAATGGCATATTCATCATGATTACAAGGAAATCTAACGCGATCTTTTGGGAAGTTGTTCAGGTTTTTTAACTTTACTGATTTTAGGCAATCTTTCTTCGTTAATTCATCGGCTTTACTACATAAGGGCTTATCTCCCTAATAGTAACTTTTCAGGAGAGCGACTTTTATTAAACTAACATTTTGTGACCACATTGTAACAAAGCTAAAATAAAGAGTATTTTTACCTTTTTCCATAATAAGGTCATTGAGGTACGCCACTTTGCGGAAGTATGGGGCTAACATTACAATATTTTCTGTAGGCCTAACTCGATTTTGATCATTTTTGAGATACGCCCTATGCGGTAATGGCGACGAATTCTACCCACAGTTAGATGATTAGAATTTAATTTTCCTTAACAGAAATTTCGAAAACAAGCAGAGTTAGGGTCAGTCAAATGTAAAAAGATTACGTATTTTAGGGATCCAGTTTAGTTTCAAATATTAGAGCTGATTTAAGAGACAAGTCTACCATTAACTGAAGTGTCCTTTTTTTAATTAAGGGCCTGTACTTTTTTGCGCATTTGCTTTAAACATTCACTGGTGTGATTAATTGTAGCAGTGGAAATACAAAGCAAAAAAAGTGTTTGAGGATACGAAAAATCATATTAAAACTAACATTATGGACCAAAAACATATGTTTTCTTTTATGTTTTGAAAAATAAAAATATTAAAAAAATATATTAGTACTTACAACTAGACCCTAAAATACCAAACTTTTTTTAATATTTAAATCATATCTATTCATTATGAAAATTACATCTACACCACCTTGTATATATTGCATATTTTCTTCTCTATATTTTTTGTATATTTTACTTTATATGCTTATTTTTGTTTCTATTTCTCAAGGCCATTCCGTTTTATCTCCATTCAACATTTCAAAAACAAATTAACCACACTATGTATGAAAAATCTTTAATTATATTCAAATTAGAGAATAAAGTTTACTAAAAAAGATACATTTTCTCGTAGTTTTCCTGGCAATATCGATTAACTATATAAGAATTTACTTTTTTTTACATTCAAATTAAATTTGAAATATTTTTTTGACTCGTTAATTTGGCAAAATGTATTTTGTCTGATGTATTAACAAAATGATAAGACATTGATAGGTAGTCTACAAGTACTATCAAAGAATAAACAAATAGGCATCAGTAATAAAAAAAATATGTAAATATTTTCATAGCGTTTTTTTTTTTTTCATATTAAGATTTAACCATTTAATAGTTTGTAGCCCAAAATTATATAATGTAAACAATACACTGTTAAAAAAATAATCACTTCTTTTATTGTCAATAGTTCTGGCCTCTCCAGGTTCACATTTGTTCCGTTGCCCTCCCTTTATAACATTTAAATCACAGATATATAACAAGACAGATAGGCTTGTTTAAAAAATTTCTGAGGCCAATACGAGTTCACATTCTAGGCGTCCTTGGCAGACATGCAATATTCTGATTGAACATTGCTGCCAAGTTTGCCGTATTCTTAATAGTAGTAATGCAGTTATGTTATGAAAAGAAATGTGACATCTGACAAAACACTGCAATAAAAAAACAATGTGTGTAAGAGTTGTAAAACTCGTTTCATTCGTGATTTTACCTCGAGACAGTATATGAGATTAGGTATGATGGATGCCATAGGCGTACAAAAGCAAATTTAAATACCAAAAGCAGTAAATGATTTGTAGATTTATAAAAATATCAAAAACTACGTAAATAGGTATTTTCAGTATTATAGAATAGTATAAATAGTGATCCTAGAGCCTTTTTTGGGGCTAATTTAATAATAGAACCCGTAAGGACTGATTTAAAAGTTCGCATTAAAGTTTCTTTAAAAGAAGTCATAATGGTTTCCCTACAAAATTTTACAAAGTTGGTATTGTTGATCTGTATTTAATTATAACATTTACCAAAAATAAATAAAACATATACATAGTAGTTGACTGATGATCGATAGGCGATGGTTAAGTAGATGTCAATCGATGTAACACGAATGTACAGATTTAAATGAGAGTGTACATACCAAAGATTAGCACACCCTTGCACAATCGATATTTACAGGCATCTTGAAATCTTAAACGCGACTAGCTCTCCAAATTATTTCTGGTGCGACGGTGCCGATAGCGGTAGTAGACGTCATAGAACATAAAGTATAGTATTAAACAATAAGTCAGTTATTATAAAGGGACATCCCAAATGGAAGAAAAATCGGCTTCTATTTGAAGATGCTCCAAAAAAATCACTTCTATTTTACTAAAACTTTTGATAAACTTCTTAATCTCCAGACAATTTCTCGTAAGAGTTGGTAATAGTTTCTGTCAAACCAAATCCGTTGTTAGTGGAGTGCCTCAAGGATCAGTCCCAGTAAAAAGCTGTTGCTCCTACGTAAACGATACAAAAATTTACGCTAATCCGAGAACATCAGTCTCTTCAATCAGATCTAAGTGCTGTATCAAAATGGAGTTCAGACTGGTTATTACCGCTAAACGTTGATAAATGTGACGATCTTAATTTCGGTAAAAACAATCCTAAATTGGCGTATAATAATAATAATAATAATGCCTTAAAGACAGTATCGTCCCAAAATAATCTCGGCGTTATCATTAATAAAGACAATGTGGTCAGAGCATATATTGTATGTAAGCAAACAAACTTTCAAAAAATATTTTTGGTAATGTTTATCTCTCAACATTTTTGAAAATATACACAACATACCCAGACAACACACCAAATCCCAGATATATCCACAGAATATCTTTTGTGGATATCCAATATATCCACAGGATATCAGAAATATTCCGTGGATCTAATATGGATATCCAAATGTCCGTCTATATCCAGAATATAGAAGATATCCTAATGGATATCAAGCAAAATATCTAATGGGTATCTTCCAAAAAATACAAGAAATCCCAGAGATATCCACAGAATATATTTTGTGGATATTCAATATATCCAATATGGATATCCAACCAAATGTCCGTCTATATCCCAGGATATAGAAGATATTCGAATATTCAGCAAAATATTTTATGGGTATCTTTAGTAGAGGTTCATAAGTAACCAATGATTATTGAATAACGTCGAAAGAAAATAGCAGAGATAAAAAATATTTTCAACATTCAAAATATTTTCAACACTCTGCCTTTGATTTTAGGACTCTTCACCAATAAATGGAAATTCTCGACTCCAGTCTCTAATGGAGTCTGATTAGGACAAAAATTTCGATCGAACTCAATTACGGCGGGTCGAGCATGAGTAGATGCGTAAGTGGTATCGCCATCTATACTTAGTAAGCAAAATCAAATAACATCTAGTGGATATCCACGATGGTTTGCGTTCGCGCTTAGACTTTGATATATTTAGTGGATGTCCATGAGATACTGAATACACCTTAAAAAAATTAATTTTAAATATCTGAACGGTACTATTAGCCACAATGGCGTAATTTTTTAATAATTTGCCATATAATTACTATTATTTATGGACATTTGCATGTCTATAAATTACATCTCATGGATATCAACCATGGACTGGATATTGGGATGTTCAGTAGATATCCAAAGGATTTGGTGTGCTGTCTGGGTATGTTCCGTCCTTGCCTGGAGTACCTACTGTGGTCCTGTTTGGTGTCTCGTATTAATCTCTAATCAAGAGGTTGGAAAATGTGCAGCGACTTGCGACAAGGCTTCCGTAAGGTAGAGGAAGACCACCGTATGAACAGCGTCTGTCTACTGCCAATCTGACTCTTTTTAGTGAGCGTCGACTGCGAACGGATCCTTGAGGAACCCCACAGTGAATCGTAGCAAGTGTTGACGCTTGCTTACTAAAACAAACTCTTTGTACTCTAGTCTCCAAATAAGACTGGAACCACTTTAGAGCTATTCCTCAAAATCCATATCTTTCTAGCTTGCTCAGCAATATTTTGTGATTTGCACAAAGAGGTTAGAGGATTTACACAGTCAAAAGCTTTGGATAAATCACAAAATGCTACAGCAGCTACCGTGTTATCGTTTAAATGGAGGAATAATTTCTCTAGAACAGAAAACAGCGTCGGTAGTATTTTTACCCGATTGAAACCCAAACTGGGATGTAGGTAGCACTCTGCGTTTTTTATCCAATTTTTCAATAATTTTTGACAAAGTGGGTAATAAAGAATCTCGTCGAGTTCGTGTATGACCTATTGTGATGTGGAATCTGATTGGTCACGAGCAGATTAAAATTTTCACGCGCTGTTTTCGATCGACGACACTTTAAAGGACACCTCAAATCCATAAAAGCCGTGCCTCCACACCACAATACGTCACCGTAATGTTGCATATCAATCTGCGTAAAATCACACATTCTTTTTATAGTATCATGCGTATGGTGTGTTTCGCGTCGATCAGTGGTCTTTGTTTGTTTCACGCATGGGCCTATTATAATTTGTCCATTTCATTGTAAAATTGTTCATACTTGTATGTGAATAAGCGACCAAATTTGAGAAAAGATATCATTTAAAAAATCATGTATTATATACGTCTATATAATCATCCGCTAAATGAAGGGGAAGAGGGCG